GTGGCCACACACACCTCAGCGCGCCTACAGCCATCAGCACAGGCGAGGGCTGGCCGGCATCGGTTACCGCCACACCGAAGAGGCCCTGGGCGGCGGGAGATTCCCCTTATTGCTGACGTTGCAGGCAGGATAAAGCCTGCAAATACTTTAACCCCGGCTTGCAAGGGACGGCTAGCCCAGCTTCCGGCTGCATGTAAGAGGCCCGGCGACTGGGGGAATCCATCGGTACAGTATTGGGCGCTGAGCGGGGGGGAGGGAGAGGTAGGTTCCCACCAATGCCTAGGGAGTCCCTCCTTAATAGGCTTCCCCTGCCTTTTCGGTCCGTACGTCGAAGCTCCGGCTGCAAGTCGATCCGGAATTTTGCGGCTGGGGCTGTCCGTCCGTCGACCCTTTTTCCATGCCTTTTTCGGTCCGTACGTCGAAGCTCCGGCTGCAAGTCGATCCGGAATTTTGCGGCTGGAGCTGTCCGTACGTCGAAAAGTCCGTAAGTTGGACCATTTGTAGGTCAAGACTCCACTGTATAATCCCACCAAATAACCCTGAGAAAATATTTTAAGCAATAAGTAAACATTCCTTACTGCAAGCACTAAAATAATAATATTACAAATATTAAGTACTGTGCCTTATCCCAAATTATTCTGGCTTACCTCCAAAGATAAGCTTACAAGTAATGTTATTTACAATCCAATTTTCCAGGCTCTGTTCTATTATCCTAGAAAATGAGTGGACATAGTGTAGCCCTCCACATGTTCCTGGGATTGCAATTCCCATCAGTTCTAGCCAATACAATCAGAGGTGATAAATGCAGGGAGATGCAGTACAGCATCATGATAGTTCCACTTCATCCACTCTGTCTTAAGGATAACGTTGGCACTCGAATATACTTATAAAAAAAATTCAAATTACTGACCAAGTGTTGTGTTAGAATTGCCTTGCATTTTCAGTTGAGAAGACGTCTGCAAGCCCTGAGGGGTGTTGGCTCTGCTATCATCCATTCCTAATGATAAATCTTTCCGTGGAAGTTTGGCTCCCTCATCTGTCATGCCCATCTGCTTTTGCCTTCTACGCTTCTTACTCCACAATTCATGGCAATCCTGCCACAAAGGAAGGCTATAAGGAAATGGGAATACAACTGCTTAACACATAGAAATATTTGGCAGCAAAAGATTACATACTAATTCCATCATTTGAGAGCTAACTTTATAAAGCAGGTTGATAGCTATCTCAGTTAATACTGAATCCTGATTATTCACCAAAGAGGCGAAAGGTCTTCCTGATGATCCCTTCATCAATTCTGTCTCCAGACTCTGTTACATTAAAGAGAACCAAGTTTATTTTAAATTAAGGAGTATGAATATGTGCTTGTACTGTGTCTTATAGCATTTACTAGAATTAATTTCAAACCACAATGCAGAAAAAATGAATGGGTGTATCTTATGTACTGTCTGCTGGTAAAATCCAAGTTTTAAAAGCTTATTTTTAAAAAAGAGGCACTTACTCTGGTGGAGGCATCTTTGAAGGGTCAACATCTCGCAAAAATTCACACTGAAGTGCCTGTTCTGCCGTGCAACGTTTACTAGGATCCAGAGCAAGCATATAATCAAAAAGGTCTAACGCAGCTGGAGGAATACTGTCAAGAAAATGAATGAAGTGAAGCCAAGGAGAAGACAGTAAATTGAACTCAAAAGTTCTCATTTTTGTCCATGTGCTATTCATACTGTATTTAACATATTGGTTTTGATTACATTTAATCTTACAGTCTACAATTTGGACTTACAGATATCCTTTCCCAAAATACCACACTATATACAGTGGTGCCTCACATAGCGACGTTAATCAGTGCAGCAAAAATCGCTGCAAAGCGATTTCGTCGCTATGCGGTTTTAAAAAGCCCACAGGAATGCATTGAAACCCCTTCAATGCATTCCTATGGGCTTAAAACTGACCTTTAAGCGAAGATCCTCCATACGGCGGCCATTTTCGCTGCCTGGTAAGCGAGGAATCTGTCCCTAAACACAGCGGGCGGCCATTTTTTTACCCAGCGGCCATTTTGGAACTGCCGATCAGCTGGAGGGAAATCATTGCTTTGTGATAATCGGTAAGCAAAACAGGGTACCGATCATCGCAAAGCAATTTTTCCCCATTTAAAACATCGCAATGTGATCGCAAAAGCGTTCGCAAAAAGTTCGTTGGTATGCGATTTCGTCGTTAAACAGGGCGCCCGTTAAGCGAGGCACCACTGTATTTCAGGATTCGTACCAGAAAATCTTGTTTGACAGCCTAGTTTTTATCATTTAGGGCTAATTTTCAATGCAGACTTCCCCCAGGACATACACCTTTAATTATCGGTGAGGGATTATGTGACCATTTCCCCCCACATAGATAGCTTAAGGGAAAAAATGTTTAACCCTTTTTCCTTTAACATACTAGACTCAGTATAAACATTATGCCAGAAGAACCCAACAGCATACAGCATTCCATGTGTCCCACTTCTTCTATTGCTAAGAATGGACAGCTATGCTAACACAGAACATTGGTCAAGGGCACAGTTTTTAACTTCTATTGCTAATGGACAGCTATGCTAACAGAACATTGGTCAAGGGCACAGTTTTTAACGTTAAGCCAGCTGAAGTGACAATTTCACAACATGTTCAGATGAAAAATTCTCCATTAAAGGAAGGCACAGAAGTATCATCTCCTTGGCTAGAGTCTTTGGCACAATGCAGGCATAGAATCCATTGCAGAAATCAGAAAGGTCATGCTAATATGTAATTAACATGGCTATCATAAACACTATACAGTGGTGCCCCGCATAGCGACCGGATTAACCTCGCTATACGGGGCACCACTGTATTTACAAATATATTAAAGGAATGCCAGGTCGATAATTTTCAAAATGTGACAATACAAGAGTTGAAGGTCTAAACCAAGGACATTCAGAAAAAACTCAATTTAAATAACAAAATTCTTACAAAGCAAACTCTTCTCTCAGTCTTCGACGGTATTGCTTCTTTGGTTTCATACTGTTGAAATATGCCAGTTTTATCACATCAGGCCACACTGCAGGACAAGGACTCCCAGTCGATAATTTTCAAAATGTGACAATACAAGAGTTGAAGGTCTAAACCAAGGACATTCAGAAAAAACTCAATTTAAATAACAAAATTCTTACAAAGCAAACTCTTCTCTCAGTCTTCGACGGTATTGCTTCTTTGGTTTCATACTGTTGAAATATGCCAGTTTTATCACATCAGGCCACACTGCAGGACAAGGACTCCCACATACACGACTATATGAAAAAAAATCAACTAAATTAATTGGATTTCTGCACTGAGCAGGGAGCTGGACTCGATGGCTTATAGGCCTCTTCCATTATTCTGTGATCCTAATTCATAACAGCTATGCTGTGAAGAGAGAGCTCAAAGTTTACTGAATCAAACAAGAATCATTATGACCGTAGTTTATGTCATAACCTGAAGAGAAATGTAAACAGAAAGCGTATTTTAATATTAAGTGCATCCCACGAAAAACAGTCTCATTTGGATTGAATAAGACCCAACCCTAAAGCTGCAGAAGTATAACTGGGAAGATCAATCTTTTCCAGTTTTTACAATATAGGTTTTCTTTCTAAACTGCCAAATTCTGTAATTCAATACAAAATCTGTTTTGCTTAATTAAGTCATAAAAACTATTTTGTATAGATCAATTTGTAATTAGCCTCTTGCTCTTGAGATTTGGTTTCCAAAGCTATTACTTTGAATTACACCTCATTGCCATGCCCTTTTTCGGAACGAATTATCGTCACTATACGGGGCACCACTGTACTTTGAATTACACCTCATTGCCATGCCCAATGGCTTCACTTTACTGTAGATGCAACAACAGCAACAAAAAATAGTGGATATAACTATTGACATTATGTTGTTTTTTCCCTGCACTGGATATAATCTCACTGAGTAACTACAGTTGTAGTTTCCCTAAGAAAATATCTGAATATAACAGACTTAACAAAGCGTTAGTGGTTATCTAAGCCACCATCAGCTTCACGCTCATATTAGTGACTTCTACAATCACTAACATGTAAATAAAATGAATCACTCAAAGAATCAAACTGTGCAAAACAGAAAAATTTTTACATTAGATTTTAGGTAGAACCTATTCTACTGCCATCAAGTGGCCACCACTTTTATTAATGTGTTAAGATAAAGGTAAAGGTTCCCCTTGACATTTAATCCAGTTGTGTCCGACTCTAGGGCGTGGTGTTCATCCCTGTCTCCAAGCCGTAGAGCCAGCATTTGCCTGTAGACAGTTTCCATGGTCACGTGTAGTTTCCGTGGTCACGTGTCCAGTCTGACTAGACATGAAATACTGTTACCTTCCCACTAAGGTGCTACTTTTTTTACTTTTATTAGATTTTTATCCCGCCCCCTAGACAAAGTCTACTCGGGTACCTATTTATCTACTTGCATTTACATGCTTTCGAACTGCTAGTTTGACAGGAGCTGGGACAAGCGACGGGAGCTCATTCCATCACGTGGATTCGATCTTATTCCGACTAGACATGGAATACGGTTACCTTCCCACTAAGGTGCTACTTTTTTACTTTTATTAGATTTTTATCCCGCCCCCTAGACAAAGTCTACTCGGGTACCTATTTATCTACTTGCATTTACATGCTTTCGAACTGCTAGTTTGACAGGAGCTGGGACAAGCGACGGGAGCTCATTCCATCACGTGGATTCGATCTTATGACTGCTGGTCTTCTGACCTTGCAGAACAGAAGCTTCTGTGGTTACTATCACATCAAATTCTTCTATACTGTATTTTGTAATATAAAATTGTACTGAAAAGTACATATTTAGTTTTTCTCTGATTTAAGGATTTTGTTGTTGTTATGTGTCATTCAATTAGTACTGACTTACAACAACCCTAATAGGGTTGGTTTTCAAAATACGTGAGGAGTGGATCTACCAGTTTCACCCTCAAGTGAGGTTCTATGGCAGAACCAGGGAATCAAAGTCAGGTCTCCTGAGTCCTAGTCCATTAATACATCTCACCACACTGGAGACTTTAAGAATGTCTAATTTAGAGGCTTCTATAGACCTGCTGCCACAGCTATCAAATACCTAATTAGCAAAATGCACAGCTTATAAAAGTACGAGGAGGAATCAGTAACAAAAACATATATCATTATTTCTTCTGAAATATTTGACCTAGCTGTGAAAGGACAGTCATCCCCTCCTGATATGATAAAAGATACAGTGGTGCCTCGCTTAACGATTTTAATTGGTTCCAGAAAAAACATCGCTATGGGAAAACATCGCTAAGCGAAACGCGTTTTCCCACAGAGATGCATTGAAAACCAGTGTAATCCGTTCCATTGGGAACGGATTGCCATCCTTAAGCAAAAGTCGCCATAGGAAACATCGCTAAGCAAAACAGGGGACCCAAAAATTCATTGCTATGCGATGCATGGACCAACCATCGCTATGCGAAAATCACCCATAGGAAACATTGCTAATCGAAGCAGGAAAATTCTCCGAAAAAGCCATCGCTATGCGGATTCGTCGTTAAACGAAGCGCTCGTTAAGCGAGGCACCACTGTATCATATAGGAAAGCAAGGCAGCCTGAGTCTACTTAAATGGAGAACTATCTCTAAGCACAAAACTTCTAAAAGCTACGTGTATAACTTATTTAGGCTACGCTAACAGTAAAGAAGATGGATTTACACTATGTTCCATTCCCTTCAACAGAAAATCGTTTTCATCTCATTTAATCATTCAATCCATTATTTGATTATAACTAATGCCAACTCAAGTATTCTACTTGAGATAAAGGGCAAATTAGTAAATATTTAATTAAATAAAGGATTCTTAAGTTTACACAACCAACCTTATCAGCTCCAGCTGGGCAATTTCCTGATTAGCTTGAAATATTGGTTTTTTTGTAAAAAGTTCACCCAGTATGCATCTGCAAAACAAAAAGAACAAATCCATCCATATTTCTTCATGACCCACTACGCTAAAGTGGAATTTTTGCATACAAAGACTTACCCGCAGCTCCAAACATCAATAGCAGGTGTATATCGCTCTTCTCCCAGCAGAAGTTCTGGAGGCCGGTACCATAAGGTGATAACTTTATTGGTATATGGTCGGCTAGAAATGAGAACACATTGAATCTCGTCTAAAAATGAATTAATGCACTATAGAGAAATAACAAATAATTCCAAAAGGCTCCTTAGCATTCCCAAAAGGGAATTAAAACAACAAAAAATAAAAACCAAAAGCAATGCACTCTTCACAAGATTCAGATTTTATTCCCATGGTTTGCCTTCCTGAATTACTGGTATAATTGTCATTATTTTATTATCTTTTCAGTTTCTTCCAATTATTTATATAATCCCCAAGCAATATAATCCACAATCAATTTAATCACAGAACAACGAAACCTATCCTAAACTGACTTGTGTTTACATCTTGCACTTTGCTTTTGCTGGATTTGATAAGGTATAACCCAGTAGGACATGCATTTCATATTCCTAAATTTTACATGTCAACAGAATGTAGATACTGCATTTCTTTATAATCTTTATAGTCTGACTGCTACTTCAAAGGGGGAAATTCATATTCATTATCAGTGGCAAATAAGCATGAAAACTAAAATAATATATATTTAACAGCTACCAATTAAAATGACAGCAGCAGCAAATTGCAGATGATAATTAACATGATAAATCAACTGGATTAAGGGTACAGAAAAACAAAGCAGAAAACCTTAGGTTTTGACTAGGGTCAAAATTACATTTACATTTCTCAGCAATTAGATTCAATAGAAATATAGTTGAGATATTTTAAAACAAAGAATTTAGGTGTTCTGTAGAATTCAATTTTCAAAACGAACTATAAGCATAAATATAGAAAAATATATGTCGCAGAGCAGAGAATGCAGCAACTCTGACACAGCTAAAAGTGGTTTCAGTGGCTGAGAGAGCTATATATATGGACTTGAATTCTAGGATGGAAAAGAAGTGGGATATAAATATAATTCATATTCAAATAAACAGCTGACAAGAAGAAGATAACTACTGAGGGCATAACAGCAACTCAACCCTGTCGTCCCACACACTGTACTTAAAAGAGTTATTCTGTGGTCCAAATAATATGTATGTATGTATGTATGTATGTATGTATGTATGTATGTATGTATGTATGTATGTATGTATGTATGTATGTATGTATGTATGTATGTATGTATGTATGTATGTATGTATGCATGTATGCATGTATGCATGTATGTATGCTTATTTATTTATTTATTTACTTACTTACTTACTTACTTACTTACTTACTTACTTACTTACTTACTTACTTACTTACTTACTTACTTACTTACTTACTTACTTACTTACTTACTTACTTACTTACTTACTTACTTACTTACTTACTTACTTACTTACTTACTTACTTACTTACTTACTTACTTACTTACTTACTTACTTACTTACTTACTTACTTACTTACTTACTTACTTACTTACTTACTTACTTACTTACTTACTTACTTACTTACTTACTTACTTACTTACTTACTTACTTACTTACTTACTTACTTACTTACTTACTTACTTACTTACTTACTTACTTACTTACTTACTTACTTACTTACTTACTTACTTACTTACTTACTTACTTACTTACTTACTTACTTACTTACTTACTTACTTACTTACTTACTTACTTACTTACTTACTTACTTACTTACTTACTTACTTACTTACTTACTTACTTACTTACTTACTTACTTACTTACTTACTTACTTACTTACTTACTTACTTACTTACTTACTTA